TGCATGATAATTACTAGAATAATATATAGGACTTGTAAAACGAGTTTCAAGTCAAAATAATGAGAACTGGTGCCAGAAACTGATATTGGCTATGAAAAGCGCGTACCGGAAAGATGCTCAGAAAAATATAATAAAAATATGACAATTCTTGTAAAATTGAGTAGGTTAAGAATCCTGAGTTTGGGATTAAAATGCTAAGCGTATTAATTAAAGTTAATACTATGTGTTTAATGCTTAGTGGCCTATAAATACTCTTATTAAGGGCACACAACCCTAGAAAACAGACTTCTATGCGTGAGTTGTTGAGAGGCTGATCAGTTTGGCTGCTCCTTTGGGTTTTCCTCTCCATTTCTTGAGCAAGTTGGCTCCTTTGGCTGTAAGTTTTCTCTTTTCTTCATCCTTAGCACTATGGTTGGGTGTGATGGTCACTTGTGAATGGGAGAGGAGCTTTTGTTCTGAGTTGTGTTGCTGTCTTAGTGAGCTTGAGGTGCTGTCTTGTGAGTTGGGGGTTGTGGAGTCATCTTCTTGGTTTGTTAAGCTTCAAGGAGCTTCCTTTGTGACGAAAGGGCCAAGCTTTGTGGCATTTTCGTTGGTCTTGTGTAGTCAGTTTGTTGGAGCTGGTTGTGAGCTCCAAGAGCAGCCCTTGTTTCTGCTTTGAAGCCTTCAGTATGTACCTCAACTTGATCATGAGTTTTTATGCCTAAAAAGGGAACCTTGATGCATGTAATGGTTAAAAGATGATAACATAACTTGGGGTAATGTCAAACGCACCTAGAAATGCATGTTTAGGCTTCTGTAATCGGTAAAAATGGAACTTTTGTAGGATATCTTCGCGAAAATACAGAAACTGCATTCTGTCGCGAAATATACGGATATTGATATCCGGATATCGATATGCGGATATTTTCAGTGATATATCCGGATATTGGATATCAGGATATGTCCCCGAGGAATATCCGGATATTCTGGGATTTCGTAGAACAGTAGCTGTGTTATGAGTACAGTGGGCTACTGGGGGTTTGTGGGCCCTAGATTGATGAAGTTGAACTTCTGTTTTAATTGAATTAAGTCAGAATCATGTGATTAAGGTCTTATGGCTTGTGTGAAGCCTTAAGACATAAAACGCAACGGAAAGGCGTTGTCTTTAAGTTAGATGCTTGTGGTGCATGTTTAATGATATACTATTGGTCCATAACAGATTGTGATACTGCTGTGTTTGGACCTTGAGATTGTGGACTCTTGGCATTGGATAGTGAGCTTGCAAGGTAAGCTTTCGTGTCCTCGGTTTAGCCATGTTGTGGTTCCACCATGTCCAATGAGGGTATGGTTATATGCATGTTGTGTTACATGCTTTTGATGTTTTGGAAATGCTGTTGAGCTGTTATATGCTAGTGCCTTTATGATATGCATGTGGTGTTCCACCTATATGGTAAGCCTGAGTATGTGGTACATACAAGATGGTGAGGCTGTGGGTGAGGTGCAAGCGATGTTCCTTGTACTACGTGTGGGTAATAGACGTATTCCTGCATTTCTCTGGCCAGTAGAATAGTGATAAACACACATGGCATGAATATCTGTTGCACTGCATAGTTTTGGAACTGATATTGATATTACTGCTTTTAGAACTTATATTGCACATGTAAGTGAGCTTGGGGTGGAAGATCCTTGAGGACCCCTTGTCTTACTGAGATTTCTTGTTTAGAGATCTCACTCCACGTTGGGGAATGCTTATTTCAGGATCAAGTAATGTTGGGGTTGAGGCCCCAGGCGGCAGGAGGCCGGAGCTGAGTTAGATATTGATGATATTATATGCTGACATGTTGGATGCTGGATATGCTTGCTGCTTTTATGCTTTTAGCTTCATTTTATGATTTTGGATTATCTTGTTGAGACGCTGTTGATTTGGTGAGCATGGGGATTGTCCATGCCACTTAGACTGGGTTATGTCTTGTGTTATTTAGAGTTGTATTAATGTATCAGGATTATGGTCCGGACTACGAGTTGTAGATCCGTGATTTTAGATACACACTTTATTTATATATTGAGGTATTTTCAGTTAGATGTCTTTGCAATTTACATACAGGCAATATTTTATGAAATTGATTAAGTAATCAACTTGGCTAAGTTTAATGACGTCATAATTGGAAAAGAAAAATATATTCCGCATTTTTAATTAAGCGCAGCTGAATACGATGTAATGTTAATATTTCGGGTATACACGAGGTGTTACACTTACAGTATTTAAATGCCTCAATGCACCGCTGGAATGTCAAAAAAACCCTATGAAAGACCGCCTTGTCGGGATAAACTCGACATTCATCAAAACATTGATCTATATCATGTTTGAACACAGAATCCACATTACATTGTGTCATGTATGTAAGCCAATTGGGCAAGAATGCATATGATTTCTCCAGTCATCAAATAACTTCACAACGCCCTTCATTTTTCCAAGCCTTCTTGTATGTTATATTGTATCCGTACAGATGGTACATCCTCTCTTGTATCAGCACTGATTTTAAAGTTGGATCTTTCCTTAACATACCTATAAAAAACAAAGCAAGTTCTCAATATTTTCAATAAACATTTTTCAATAAATAAAAAACCCTAAACAAATCATAAGGAACTGCACGTAATAAAAACATACTTATAAGGGCTGCACATATAACCTTTGAATCCAGCTGTATATGATCTCGGGGAAGACCTTGGTTTAGGCAGGTGTGATCTTTACCCTACTTACTAACCACCCAACTATTTCCATTCTTCGGCAACATTGCCCTCATTACCAGGACAACCATCAACATGGTTTTGACACTTCAGCACAAATCTATGCTCATTGCTTTTTGCTACTACAGTTGTACGATAAGCCTTCATATAATGTACTTTCATGGCATATTGCATTTCAAATTTGGAACGAAACTCTTGATACACATATAATGGATCCTCTAATTGCTAACCACCGTGTAAGTCATCGTCTCCATTCAACATCTCCATCTCGTTATTAGGGTGCACCCAATTAATGAAGGAATAATATGGGTTTTAGTTCCAAAATGGCTCAATCTTAGGCCCTACGTCTAAATCATTACATTTTTGTCAGTACCAATAACAACACAAATATGAAATGTTATAAAAACTTTAATTTACCAACTTACTACTGTTAATTGGGTCAATATGAAGTGGTGGCATAACTAGGAAACTCAGGTTTAACGGGTTCGTGTTGGTGTCAAAATCACCCTCTATGTTAGTATCTGAGGTGTCACCTAGTGAAATAACACTCTCACGTTCTCCCTCCTCATCGTTGTCCATATCCTCCTCCTCCTCATCCTTATCTCCCTCCCACAATGTTATTGACTTAACACTTGTGCAGGTTCAGATAAATCGACGACTCTGTCTTCTTGACCAAAATATTGTTGACTTCTTGTATGCATAGGTGCATATGAAGATTGACCACAATCAACTTCAACATATATCTCAATAACATTTTGAAATCCCCAGTCAACAATTGCATCTACGACACATTCCACATCTTTATCATCACAGATATCGTTATTAATGTAATATATAGCATCCTTACCAATTGTACTCTCTACCCTGGCTATCATCTGATATATGCATTGGCTGCCTTGTAACCCCAAATTTTGGTGAATTCTCCCCTTAAGCTCGTTTATGTAGTGCCTTGTTTGATTCTTATCATTTTTATTTTTCCTTCAAATTGAACACTATTGTGACCTTCAAAATGCCTCCCATCATGGTAGATCACTGTAATATACGTGTTTGAACTTGAGCTAATCTTTCACACGAAATTAGGACTAGGGTTCAAATTTTTTGGGGTTCGGGTTCATATTTTTCCAACAAAAAGGAATATGTAAATGCAGTGACAATGATTTTACAAGATTAAGGTTTTAGATATGGTGGGATGAAATAACCTCTTCATGAATTGGATTAGAGATGAGAAACGAGAGAGATTTTAATGTTAAAAATAGGTATAAATGAAATGAGACCGAGACATGTAGATATAGGGTTTCTGCCATTATTTAATCGATTAAGCCATAATGCTTAATCGATTAAATACCGGGTTAAACATTCACTGTGTATTTTTCACTGTTTAATCGATTAAGCCCATGATTTAATCGATTAAACAAGGGCATATAGATGTAATGTTTTGGATGAGGGGCAAAATAATTATTTTTTAATTGATGAGGGGCAAAAAGGGTAAAAAGCCAATATTTTTAAAATAATAATAAAAATTTAATTTTAAAAAATAATTAATAATATCAAATGAATGATTAATCAAAAATAAAAAAATAAAATATTGAATAACTTTTGATCAAATTTAAAATTTGTTATTAATTTAACAAATTTAAATGTAATAAAGCATACTTTTATTTTATTCTTATTTTATCCTATCTATAACAATCTATTTTTTTTTTATACCTGTTTGGATCCTCTTATTTTTAAGCTAGAAGCTACTTATAAGCTAAAGCTAAAAAAAATAGCTTAAAAAAAGAAGTTAAAAGCTGTTTGGAAATTACATAAAAAATTTAGCTTAAAAATTAGTTAAAAGCACATATTTCAAGAAAATTATTTCTATCTCTATCTTTATCCCTCTTCATTTTAAAAAAAAGCACACAATTCAAGAAAAACAGATAAGAGCTTAAAAAAAACTCCTCCTAGGAGCTTTTAATTTTCAACTTTTTTCTTCAATATAAAAAAAGAGCTTTTCGTTATAAGAGCTTTTTTCAAAACCTCTTTGGCCTAGCTTATACTTATAAGTAGCTTCTAGCTTAAAAATAAGAGGATCCAAACAGGCACCTATTCTAATTATATATTTGAGGTGAATTTTCTTGGACTCTACCAAGAATGTGTTGTACAACTGATGTACACCCATTGCCTTGTAACAATCTAATTTTACTTCTCTGTTTTTTTGTTTTTTTTTCACTTTCCCTCAATTTATGAGTCACCACTCACCACAATTCTCCAAACACTTCAAAAACCCAAAACCCTAAAACCAAAAAAACAAAAAACTAAATTCAAAAATCTCTTTCTCACACACAGACGCAGAGGGTGAGAGTGTGAAGCGATGGATATGCAACAGAGCGACTTCGATCGCCTCTTGTTCTTCGAGCATGCTCGTAAGACTGCAGAAGTTGAATACGCCAATAACCCTCTCGATGCTGATGTTCGTATTTTTTTTCTTTTTCTTTTTTCTCATTTCTAGATTTTTCGTTTCATTGAAACTTCGAAAAATTTCGGATTTTCTTTCGAAGGATCGGTTCGTTATCATTCCGTGGGTTATATTTAGATTATTGTCGCAATAAATGTGGTGTTTTTTATTTTACATTGATATGAACGAGTTGTTATGTTGAAAAATATTTCTGCAATTTTTAGAAGAAAAAATTATTCGTTTTATGGTGTAATCTCTGCAGAACTTGACAAGATGGGGAGGAGCTTTGTTAGAGTTGTCTCAGTTTCAGAGTTTTCCTGAATCAAAGAAGATAACCCAAGGTGCTAATTCTCTAAGCGGTAGTTTTTTTTAATATAAAAAGGGTTTTTTAATTAAATGATTGATTGATTTCTAGGTTTTATTTATTTATTTATTAAATGATTTCGCAGAAGGGGTAAAGGATGCTGATTGGACCATATAATATTGTGGTGGTTATTATTGAAGGTTATAATTTTGAACTTTCATTTGTGGATTTCTAACTTGATATGCAGATGCTATTTCAAAGCTGGAGGAGGCACTTGTGGTGAATCCCAAGAAGCATGATACTCTCTGGTGCCTGGGAAATGCTCACACTTCACAAGCGTTTTTAATTCCTGACCAGGAGGAGGCCAAAGTTTACTTTGATAAGGCAGCTGAATACTTTCAGCAAGCTGTTGATGAGGTACATTTTCAGTCCGGTGTCAATGATGGCCTCACCGGTGTATGGGAATTGGGAAGTATTTTACTTGTCAAAATAATTTGTAATGAAGTAATTTTTGTTTTATGTAGGATCCTTCTAATGAGCTTTACTGCAAATCGTTGGAGGTGGCTGCTAAGGTATGTTTTGTATTGTAATGGTTTTCTATCATACTATCGTACTATTTTGATTGCACCTTTTCATCTATCGTACTATTTTTGTTTTATGTAGGATCCTTCTAATGAGCTATTTTGTTCGGTTTTGTTTTCATTTGCTTTTTCTTCTTCTGTGTGTCTTGGTTGAGGAAACTAAGAGATTTTTGGATTTTCAATTTTTTCTTGTGACTTATCTTTTTAATCTGAATGCTTGATATTATGTTTATAGTGTATCTATAACACTCAATGGAACCCTAATTTTTTTTTGCTGTAGTTTGTAAAATGATTCTGAATTCTGATATATGCAGTTATGTAAGAAAGTATGGACTGTGGCATGACTCGTGGACTATGGATGCCACCATGGTAGTCAGAATTGCATGAATTACAATTCAATTCATGCTATTCGATCTGTTTAAATAAAGTGGATGGAATGTATCTCGGTCTACCTACCTGTTACCAACCTTGGAATATTTTTAAAACTTGCTTTTAGGGAAGGAATTGTTTTTCATTAAAGACATTCTCAAAAAGCTGCTGGAAAAAAAAAGTAACGGCGTTTCTCCAAAATAAGCTAATCCAAACATAATTCATTTTTCTTCACCCCTAACAATATAAAACACTTCTTAAAGAGAAGGCCTAGAATTTGGACCCGAATAGGGTCACATACATAGAGTTGACACTTCATAAAGAGTAGGCTTAGAATTTGGACCCAAATAGGGTCATACATAGAGTTGAGCCCAAAGAGAAACTCAAAGATTCGGTCCTATTCAACAGAGGCTGCCAAGGTGGCAGCATCACAATTACAGTTCATTTTTAAGCTTTGGTACTGATACATAGGCAATGTAGAATGCCTTTGTAACAGAAAGATGATCCTATTTGCTAGAAGAGATCCAGTTCTTTAATTCGAAGCATGTGCAACACCTTGCTTCATGGAGTATATCTCTCGAAAAACCTCATGCAATATTGACTTGCCTCTAGAGTCAGAGTGCCACAATCAAGTCATAATAAGATAGTCTTGATCATCCTATTCCTTGAACTTGGGATTTGTCTTAGCTAGGACAGGTTTTTCAATATGATCCACCTTACGACACTCTGTAAGGGTAGTCCGAACAACTTGGTATCACTACAAATAATTTTTCCCAATGAGGCGAAAAGAATGATGCAGAACTGGGAGATCATTAGGGTTTGGGGGTGTGGTTATGATGGTTGCTGAACAGAGTGCAAGTAGTCATTGAAAAGGACACAAAAAGGAGTGGGAGTCACCACTTGAATCACTAGAGGTCCCAAACAATGGGCAATGAACAGATCCAAGCAAAGGAGGCCTAGACGGCAATGGACAAGGCTGACCAGAGGCAGACGGAGTTGTCACGTGCTGGCTGGAGGGTGGTTCCTGAATTTCACTCGCCAAAAAGGATGGAGCTGTCACACTCTCATACCAACTTCAAATATGGGAAATATTGAATGTTATTTCGCGATTTGTCTTGTACAATGAGCTACAATATAGAAAGCCAATCGGGAGTAAACCTTAATAGTTACTTTTCTAATTGAAGGCTTAGGCTAAATATAGGGAAATAATTTGGAGCAATCAAACCTATAATAAGGGAAACTAGTCCACGTAATACAAAGGGAAATAAATCAGAAATAATTACCACATATGTACACCAATACTTACAAGTTACAATAATTTATATTTTAGTTTGTTAATTGTACGAGTTATTTGACTTTGAAATGCTAATATCTAGATGTTAGTTACCACGGTTACAAATCCCGGGTCACTGTGAATTCAAATGTCTTCTTTGTAATTTTGAATCATCAGATTCATGATCAATAATAAAAAAGGATGAAGTATATTTTTTACGTAATATGTGAAGGGTAGTTATAGAATTTGACAAAATTGCAGAGAAAAAGGTCAGAAGAAAGGAGGGAGAGACAGAGGAGATAATGAAAGAAAGGTTGGAAGAAGATAATTGCTTAATTTGTTGCCTATTCCATACAGCATTGTGACCTTTATAGCAAGGATTTTAAATACTGATGTATGATCCTTGTTCCTTGACATATTTAATGAATCAATTGATTAATCATATACATAGTAGTCAATAGCGGCGCAATAGCGGTCGTTGCGGCCGCATTTGCTGCCAAATCTAGCCGCAACAGTGCCTTTTTATGGATTTAACCCTAACCCACTCTCCTTTTCTGCCTCTCTGTTGTGTGTCTCTTTTCTGCCTCTTATGCTCTCTTTATCGCGCTCGTTTCTTCCCTTTACTTCTCTCTTATAGTATTGAAGTTCAATGCGGAAGCCATGAACAAAGAAGCAAAGCTTTGAGTGAGAGAGAGAGAGAGAGCAGATAATAACGGAGAAAAGGAGAAAAAGTGAGAAAAATAGTAATAGAGAGAGAGAGAACAGATGAAGGAGAAAAGGAGAAATTGTGAGAGAGAACGGATGAAAGAGAAAAAAGAGAGAAAGTGAGAAAGAAAGAGATTTTGATCTATTTTCATTCAAAGAAAAGAAAAGTACATTAGTCAGAAAAGTGATTCACAAGTCACGGTAACCAAGTAATCTGGTTACAGTAACAGAGGGTAAAACTATTTCTGTATCCCCAAAAAAAAAAGAATGAATCATTAAAAGGTAACTAAGGTAAAGCAGTAAAGTATTATTTATATTTTTTTAGGTGTTATTATTTTTTTAATAATTTATTATGTTACATATATATATATACATATATATATGCATATATATATATATATAAAATTTATTTTTTTAATATATAGCGGTTTTGAGGGTTGGCCGCATCAGGCCGCAATCCGCATTTGATAACTATGATCATATATAAACATTGTGATTGATTGAGAAATATTTTTTTACTGGAATTGTAATATAACATGTTTACCCTGTTATTAAACTGATTTCTTTTTGTGGCCTTGCAATGGATCAAGGATTGGGGTTTATTGATATGTTTCACAAAGAAATTAGGCTATTCTTTCGAGCTGATCTGTTCCTTTTTGTTTTTCTTTCTGCTTTCTGTGCTTTGGTGTTTTTGGAGGGTACCTTATTCTTCCCCCTGTGCTCTCTTTCTTGCTAATATAATGTTCCCTTTTGATTAAAGAAAATGTTCACGACTGGCTACTAGACCAATTCAATTACTAACACCCTTTTCTTAAGGCTCCTGAGCTGCATGTAGAAATCCATAAGCATGGATTTGGTCAGCAGCAGCAGCAGTTGACAGGGACAGCTGGAACTTCTACTTCTTCGGGTACAAAGGTAATACTTTAAAGTTTCCCTCTGTCTTTACATTGCATTGTTTCGTATCAGGTTTTTTCAGTTACTGCAATTGTATAAAAAAAAAATTCAACTTTATGCACCCGTGGTATATATTTTAAGTTTCTAATGTCGTGGACACATTCAAGGAGTGTTCCTGCAGTGAGATAAAGCAGTTTGTTGACTGGAATTTATTGTGCCTTTTTATTGAAAATTATTTTTTTTAAATGTTCATTTTTTTCCTGCAATAAATTCATGCTTTATTGTGATGAATGAGGCAACTTGGGAGTTTGGGACACAAATGTTATAAGATGGGCTCATAGGTTCTAGCATGACTGCACCAAAATGACTTTGCATAGATCTTGACTATCTAACTAGTGTATCTGTGGGTTTGACATAGATTGCCTTAATGTCTTGGTGAATTTTCCCTTTGAAGGGGATAGTATTTTTTTTTCTTTTAAAAAAAGAACTAATTTTTTGTCTAGTCAGCTGTTGAGATAAATGCTTCTGTTTTTGGTTGGATCTTGGACTGTTATATATTTCTGATACCTGCATAATTGGTAAGCATGTCTTCATTTGTGCTACAAAATAGGGAGATATGCTAATATAGAGATAGAGACTCTGATCTTCATATTTAAGTTGTGTTCATTTTTCACCTAATTTATTGTTTTATTTGGTTATTTTTCAGACTCAAAAGAAAAAGAAGAGCAGTGATCTGAAGTATGACATATTTGGATGGATAGTTCTGGCTGTGAGCATTGTCGTATGGGTAGGATTTGCAAAAACAAACCTGCCTCCACCCCCTCCACCACCTCCTCGATAAGTGAAAGCCATATGATTTGATTTGATGCCATTATAGATTGTTGAGAATTACATTTGATTTGGGCCAGTGCCCACTATTTATTTTTTGACAGTAGTAATGTTTTTCATGATGCAAACATTTACTTATCCATCACATGAAATTTTATCTCATGATAGCTGGGTTGAGCAGCTAAACATTTACTTATCCAGGCTTTGATCTTTGCAAGTATTGCAAAAACCTAAAGCATTGCCATCTAGTATTGAATATAATAAGAATTTGCCTTCATTTATGGCTTATTGAGCTTTATGCGGAGGGCAGTTCCAAATCTTCTACTGGGTTGCATGGAAGCGTTTTAAGTAGTTACATTCAGTCATATTAATCACTGTTTGTTAGAATTATTTAATTTTAAAAGGGACCATAGTTTTAAAGGTTTTTTTTAGGGATAAGATATTATACTTATCTTTTTTTCTTGTCTATCTTACTTATTTTCAATATTATTAGATTAGAATCTCACTTTTTCTCTCTCCTCTTGAGATTTTGATCCAATGGTAGGTAAGAAAAAAAGTAGGTAGAATAACTTATTCTTTTTGTTAAAAAAGTTTATTAAAATAGCCAAGTTTGAATATTTTAGCATGCTTTTTTATGGGAATAAAATTGTGATGATAACTAAAATTTTGGTTTTTAAGAATTTGAGTCCTGGCATGATCTTGTATTGTGTTCCTGTTCAAAATTGCCACGCTTATTATACCTGGTTTTTTTTTATTTAAAATCTGAATTATGCTTTGGGACAAAATAACGAGACAAGATTTTTTCTTAAATTATTGATTGAACCTTTTTATATTAGAAGCCAAATAAATACGCTATTATTAATATGGAATAATAGGTTCTCATGTTGCAGTTATCTTGCAAATTATATACTTTAGAGAATATATAATTATAATATTAGTTTTTTTTATACCCGTTATAATTATGTATTTCTTGAAGTATATCGTTATAATCTATGATGCACGGACACGGGACATGATACGACACGCTGACACGTTAATTCTAAAAAATGTCATATTTGGACACGTTGAGAAACGTTTTGATATTAAATAAATTTTTTAATATATATAATATAATTTACATTTAATACATATAGCGACTCATATATTAATCAAATATTCAAATTTTATAACGTAAATATTAAAAAAATAATAATAGAACATTCCAGGAGTGTAGAAAAATTTGAAGTGCATAAACAATTCAATTAGCAAGCCCAAATACAGCTTCAAGTTTACAAAATTGAATTTTTAATATTAAAAAATATAATAAAAAATTTAGGAAGAAGATAAGTACATTGAAAATTAAATTGCAGTAAAAAAAAATATTTTATGTTCTTTCTATATCTCACTCGTGTATGTGTAAAAAAATCTCATCTTTCCGTGACAAATTACTTGGGGCATCGTCTCAGCCTCATCTCAAGAAGAAATGGGCGGCGCCGCCCCAAGATTCCTCTTTCTCCTCACCACTCCCTTACCTCTTCTCCGCCACCACCACCACCGTAAGCTACTCTTCCTCTCTCCTTCCTTCTCCTACCATTTCCACTCTCTCTCTTCTTCTTTTTCTTCTTCTACCTCTTCCTCACCCTCTCTCCTCTTAAACTGAAACTGAAAGTCTCCCAACACCAATAAACACGTTCACACCCAATCTCCCTCCTCTCTCAGATAGCTCAGATTGAAGATGCGATGGCACTCTGATTGAAGATGACCGGCGACGACCGACGAAGAGAGTCCAGCGTCAACGAAAAAGAAAGGATGGGTTCTAGATTTTTTAAATTTTATTAAATTTTTTTTTTTTTAATTGTAATTTTATTTTATTTTTTAAAAAAAAATGTTAAAACATGTCCCAAAACGTGTCCAATTGCGTTGACCGCATGTCGGATTCGGTCAAACATGTTCCACTAGTCAACGTGTCTCAAAAAGTTGACCGCGTGTCGGATGCGTGTTCGAACGTGTCCAAACGTGTCCATGCCGGACACGTATTTTTTGCCAAAAATAACGTGTCCGTGTTTCAGAGGTTATAATGTTAAAAAAATTAAATATTATAATTATATACTTTCTGGAGTAAATGGTTTGGAGGAGAATTTTAAATTTATGCAACGAAAGAAAAAAGGGACCGGATTATTATTTGCCTTATAATTTATTTTTAACACATCACGAGTTTAATCTAGGTTGAATTCTGAATGTTGCTGGTCAAATTTTGGAAGGTGTTGATTGTAGTTGATGATGTAGTAGTGTTGATCCATCTATTGCTGTTGACATTACGAAATTTCCTCCTAGAACAATATAAATGTAAGGAGGATGGGTTAGTTACTTATTATGATACAAGTCAGGCATCTAAAGAGCGATATATCACCCTTTAAAAAAAAAAAAAATACACCGAAGTAAGAAACCATGCAATTTTAGTCTAGGCGTTTTCATGACTTACTAGGGAAAGAAAGAAATGTAATGAGATGTAGAATAAACTTTTGGTACGAAGTAGTTAAGAAAATTCATTTCTTCAATCTATTGGATGAAAAAAATATGAAAGAGGGGAAGAGGAAGAGTCACATTTGATTTCTTCAATTATGGGGAGAAATAGTACTGCAGCTGTATTGTCAGCATTAGTTTTTTTTCGGCATGTCCTTCACTCCTATCTTTAAATGTGGAACCTTATACACCTGACAGTAAGGTCTACAATATATGATTGTGAAAGTATGATTCTCGGAACAATAAAGCTAATATTCTACCAAATGGTGGTAGTTCAGTTGGCGCATGAGAGCTAAGCAGGTGAGGTGAAAGCATGTGTTCGAATCTCTCCAATACCACCTTTGGAAGGGGTTTAAAGCCTTAATCCTGGACCCGCTCCGAATCGGATTAGTTGCGAAGCAATGAACCGATTGGAATATTTCTAAAAAAAAATAAAGCTAATATTCTTCCTCCAGAAAAATATTTTTAGTACTACGGATATATCGAGTTTTAGATATATATGTCATTCATAATATAACACGTGTTTTATTTTTATTAAATTATTAATAAATAAATTATTTTAAAATTAGGTGAAAGAGTGATTTGATAAAAAAAATAAAACATATGTCATATTATAAGTGAAAGATATACCAAAAATTCAGTGTATCCATATCGCTAAAGAAATTTTTCTTCCAAGAGTGCTTCAGCAAATCCCCAACCCATTCTTTATTTTTTAAAATGACAAGTACATTACAATTCAAAATTTACACCGACAAATCATGAAAGGAGAGCAACAATAATGCAACTCAGCGCTAAAGATGGGTTCTTTGACCAATTGAGGTTTTTTGAGATTTTAATTTATCAATTTGGTATTTGGTTCACGATATTTATCAATAGGGGTCATTTAGTGACGCGAGGAGGACCTAGCGTCACTAAATGCCGCTACCATTCCCCCGCGTCACTGACATTCTTTTATTTTTATTTTTTATTTTTTCCAATTGAGTGACTCCTCTCCTCTCCTGAGGCACTCACAGGATTGTGCCATATGGCACAATCTCGTTAGTCTCGTTATCGTAAAACTTTGGAAAATCATAACTTTTGACTTGGTTATCTAAATCAGATGATTTTTTTTATTTCACATAACTTTTCGAGATCTACGTAATGACACCTCATTTGACATGTTTTATCTTTAACAAACATAGTTCAAATATGTAAAAAGGTGGAACTAGTGTTGCAAATTTGAACTATGTTAATGGAAGATAAAATATGTCAAATGGGGTGTTATTGCGTAGATCTCAAAAAGTTATGTGAAATAAAAAAATCATCTCATTTGGATACCCGAGTCAAAAGTTATGGCTTTCCAAAGTTTTACGATTACGGGGACTAACGAGATTGTGCCACTTGGCACAATCCTGTGAGTGCCCTAGGGGAGTGGGGCGTCACTCAATTGAAAAAAATAAAAAATAAATAAAAGAACGTGAGTGACCCGGGGGAGGGTAGCAGCACTCAGTGACGCTTGGTCTCTCTCGCGTCGCTAAATGACTCCCATTGGTAAATACCGTGAACCAAATAGATAAATTAAAGGGGTAACAACCCCAGATGGGTTAAAGAGCCCTAAAGATGGCCACCAACCAACCAACTTATATAAGAATTTTCCAATAAAAAATAATTAAATAAATAAAGAGAAACAAACAAAATAATAAAAGACAAATATAAACACATGCTCAACAAACAAGAATAAAATATGTAAATGCATACAACACCCACAAGTGAAAAGAACAATGGTGTCGAAAGAATTTACGGTTAAGAAAAATGTGTTTATCGACTGAGAAGAGAAAAAATTACAAAAAATAAAATAAATTCATAATATTTTATTTTATTAAAAAAGAACAATATAAATAACAAGGTATTATTTTATTAAAGGTAACAATATATTATTTTATTAAAAATAAAATAAAATATTATTTATTAAAAAATATAAGTCGGGGCTGGAGGCTTAGAGACCAGACCTGCTAAAATAAGCTTGTGACCTGATTTCTAAACAAGTCTTTTAATAAGTTTAGACCTGTGCTATTTTTTTTTATATATAACAAAAAATTTAAGTGGGGTTAGATACCGGTATCCCACTAGGGTCAGGGAAGACCCCTCAACCTCTTTAAAATGAGTCAAGCCAAAGACAAGTCAAATTGTAGGCTTATGACTAGGTGTGTTAACGAGCTGAGCCGAGCCGAGCTTTGGTCTTAACGGACCGAGCCTGTGTTCAAATGTGTCAGACTGGCCTTATCATGTTACCTGTTACGAATATAATATCAGCCCGTGGCTTAGCTCATTTATAAAAAATAAAAGCCTGGTTTAGCCTGTTAGCCTGTTTTAAAATAATAAGACAACAAAAATTTACCCAAACAAAATCTACAATCAACAACACTAGTAATTCCATAAATATTCATAAATTTAATGTATATCCAAATATCATAATATAAAATAAAATCATTCAAAAAGTCTGTTTAATTAATAAAATGGGATGAAATGAATTGAGAAGAGAGAGAGTTATCACAAGTAGTATAAAAATATAAAAAAATATATTAGGCAAGCGTGAGAGGCTTTAAGGCCGAGCTTTTGAATTGGAGCATGAGGCCTTTTTATTAAACGAGATTTTATACAAGTCCAAGCCTGAGTCCAACAATCAATTTTAGACATGTAAGCTCAGGCCTTCACGAGCCGAGCCAAAGGCCCCTGGCTCGTTTAGCACCCCTACTTATGACAAGTCGCATGTCTCATTTACACCC